GTCCTGTTTAATAAGCAAGAATTAAATTATTTAATTCGATTTTGCTCACCTATATCCTACACCTAATTTGTGTTAATTTTGAATTGACGATTTAAATACGAAAATATTTTCATATATATATTAACAATAATATTAATGTATATATTTTAATTTGTGCAACTATACAACATAATTTAAAACTAAATACATGTTCAATTATGTACACAAATTCTAAGCTACAGTTGGAGTACCTAACCCTACACCGCCGCTACCCGGGTCGTCGTTTGTGGGGTCTCGACGCTGATGTGGAATGTTGGAACATGAGTCGTTGCTGGAGAATCGACGCATCATCTCTTCATACCTCTCTTGGTTCTCCTTTCTATTTCGGCCAATCGAGTCTCCATCTCGACTTCCATTTCACTCCGCATAGCTTGCACCCACTCCTCCAACCTCTACTCCACCCTCTGGTCCATCTGATCTTGCATCTGGGAAAGAAAGGAAGGCGTGTACTGCTGGGAAGACTTGGAACTCTTCCGGCTGCCGTAATACAGCTCCGCACCTTGGCTAAGTCCCTTCACACGACCCTTCTTGTTTCGGCCACCTACAGTTTCCTAGTACAACTTATTTGGACTCTTTTGAATCCCTTGGGTGCTTTCTTCTTCAACTTTCTTCTGGTAGGCCTCCTACAAGATAAACATATGAAAAGTTGCACAAATTAAAGATGTAAGTTAAAATCAGGCCAATAGACCCCTAAATGACCTATCCTTTGCCTATTTTCTACATTTCTAACCAAATGAACCATTTTTTTGTCATAACATGTCTATTATAGGTAGTTTTAGACGTATATGCCTTAAAATCACAAAAAAACCAAGTCTCTAAGGTTTGGGAGCGAATTAGACCAAAATTCAACCTATTGAGGCCTATATGACCTATCATTTGCCTATTTTCTACATTTCTAACTAAATGATCCATTTTTTTGTCATAACATGTCTATTATAGGTAGTTAGGGTTGTGTATGCCTTGAAATCGCAAAAAAAAACCAAGTCTCTAAGGTTTGGGAGCGAATTGGACCAAAACTAGAACCAATAGACCCCTATATGACCTATACTTTGCCTATTTTCTACATTTCTAACCAAATGAACCATTTCTTTGTTATAACATGTCTATTATAGGTAGTTTTAGACGTATATGCCTTGAAATCACAAAAAAAAACCAAGTCTCTAAGGTTTGGGAGCGAATACGACCAAAATTCAACCTATTGAGGCCTATATGACCTATCCTTTGCCTATTTTCTACATTTCTAACTAAATGATCCATTTTTTGGTCATAAAATGTCTATTACAGGTATTTGGGGTTGTATATGCCTTGAAATCGCAAAAAAAAACCAAGTCTCTAAGGTTTGGGAGCGAATTGGACCAAATTCCAACCAATAGACCCCTATATGACCTACACTTTGCCTATTTTCTACATTTCTAACCAATAAACCATTTCTTTGTCATAACATGTCTATATAGGTAGTTTTAGACGTATATGCCTTGAAATCACAAAAAAAAAACCAAGTATCTAAGGTTTGGGAGCGAATACGACCAAAATTCAACCAGTTGAGGCCTATATGACCTATCCTTTGCCTATTTTCTACATTTCTAACTAAATGATCCATTTTTTTATCATAACATGTCTATTATAGGTATTTGGGGTTGTGTATGCCTTGAAATCTAAAAAAAAAACCAAGTCTCTAAGGTTTGGGAGCGAATTGGACTAAAATCCAACCAATAGACCCCTATATGACCTATACTTTGCCTATTTTCTACATTTCTAACCAAATGAACCATTTCTTTGTCATAACATGTCTATTATAGGTAGTTTTAGACGTATATGCCTTGAAATCACAAAAAAAAAAACTAAGTCTATAAGGTTTGGGAGCGAATTAATACGACCAAAATTCAACCAATTGAGGCCTATATGACCTATCCTTTGCCTATTTTCTACATTTCTAACTAAATGATCCATTTTTTTGTCATAACATGTCTATTAAAGGTATTTGGGGTTGTGTATGCCTTGAAATCGCAAAAAAAAAACCAAGTCTCTAAGGTTTGGGAGCGAATTAGACCAAAATCCAACCAATAGACCCTTAAATGACCTATCCTTTACCTATTTTCTACATTTCTAACCAAATGAACCATTTATTTGTCATAACATGTCTATTATAGGTAGTTTTAGACTTATATGCCTTGAAATCACAAAAAAAGAAACCAAGTCTCTAAGGTTTGGGAGCGAATACGACCAAAATTTAACCAATTGAGGCCTATATGACCTATCCTTTGCCTATTTTCTTCAATTCTAACTTAATGATCCATTTCTTTGTCATAACATGTCTTTTATAGTTAGTTAGGGTTGTGTATGCCTTGAAATCACAAAAACAACCAATTCTCTAAGTTTTGGGAGCGAATTAGACCAAAATTCAACCAATAGACCCCTAAATCACCTATCACTTGCCTATTTTCTACATTTCTTACCAAATGAACCATTTCTTTGTCATAACATGCATATTATAGGTAGTTTTAGATGTATATGCCTTTAAATCACAAAAACAACCAATTCTCTAAGTTTTGGGACCCTAAATGACTACAAATCAACCAATAGACCCCTAAATGACCTATCACTTGCCTATTTTCTACATTTCTCACCAAATGAACCATTTCTTTGTCATAACATGCATATTATATGTAGTTTTAGGTGCACATGCCTTGAAATCACAAATACAACCAAGTCTCTAAGTTTTGGGACCCTAAAAGACCAAAATTCAACCAATTCACCCCTAAATGACCAATCCCTTGCCTATTTTCTAAAGTTCTCACCTAATGAACCATTTCTTTCTCATAACATGCATATTATAGGTAATTTTAGGTGCACATGCGTTCAAATCACAAAAACAACCTATTTTCTAAGTTTTTTCTTATAACATATATATAACAGTTGTAGGTGTTATTGAAGTTAATATCGCAATATGCTGTGCTTTGGTGTTGGCTGGTACCGTGCCTTTCCCAGGCACTTCCTTGAAGTGCGTCTTCATAAACAGCTCATGAGCTGTTGGGAGCTGCCCTTTGTTCTTCGCCGCCTTTGATTATACATGCAGAAAATGATAAACTTTAAATGTTAGAGCACCTGTACAAAAGAATAAAACCGACCCTCCAATCTAAAAGGAATATTCAACAAACTTACCATTCGTTTAGCATGTTGTACAGCTGACATCGAACCTTGATAGTGGGTAGCTTCAACCGGACTTTCCATTGACCCACCCCTCCTGTTCTTCTTGTTTTGGGACGACCTTGCCTTGAAAGTTGGATCGGCGGCAACAATATCCATCATCTTCTTGTGGACTTCCTCAATGAGCCAGGCTGGCCTTGCGCCTCTCATCTTGTGCGTGACTGTGTAGAACATGTCACGCAACCGAGTAGCAAACCTCTTTTCAAACGTGTGCTTCACATCCTCGGTCAACTGAGGTGCCCACGTGAATTCCTTCTACAATTAATAAACGTTATGTCATATTTCCAAATTCAGCTCAACATTTTTAAAAAACATGTTTTCAATTAAGTTTATAATAGCTTACGCATAATAGGTTCCACCAATGTTCCTTGGTTGCTGCATCCACCTCGCCGTAATTCCTCCAAGGCTGTCTATAGTACCCGGTTATCGCCCCGGATACCGCAATCCTGACCTTGTTGTCGTCAAACCTACATGCAATGAGGAAACCACAAAGTTAGATGATCATGAACTACAAGTATTGAAAAACTTGTTACAGGTAATAAATAGGTTTTTTTCCTTAAAAAATATTCAAATCCCAATGCACAAAATGTATGTACGTACCAGAGCACAGTAGGGTCTATTACCGGCAACTGTGAACGCTCCTGAGTCTGACCTCATGATGAGCTGGAAGTCGGCTCCTGAGTATTATCCAAATTATAAGCATCCTCCATGTCATCATCGGAATCGTCGATCTGCATTCTCCGTTTATCTATGTCTTTACCGCCCGCCATGATCACCTGAATTGTTGATAATAACATTACAGCATATTATAAGTTACAAGGGACTCGGGCAATGCAATAACATTTCAGCGTAAAAGTAATGATCGATTTATTAAAAGACAAATTCATTTGTCTATTTTACATAATAAGCAAATTCAAAGAAGGAGAGTAACAAATTCCCCTATTCATTAATGTCATCACTACTACTATCACTACTGGAATCATTGCTACTATCATCTAATAATACATCGATATCATCATCCTCGTCACTATCACTGGAGTTGATGCTAGATTCATCATCTTCATCGCTCGAGATAACAAAGCATCGTCATCTTCCTCATCATCATCATCTTGGACATAGTCTGGAATATCATTCGGTGGGCAAAGTGTTTCATGTAATTGTGGGGATGGTGCCTGCAAGAACTCTAAGTCCACCGGAGCATCAACCACTGATCTTGCTTGTGTTTTAAAAATAGCCCACCATTGTATTCGATCCCGTTTCAGGCTTGGGTATGATGTGTAGTACACTTGAGTCACTTGGTAAGACAAAACAAAGGGATCGTACTTGGGGTATTTCTTAGTATTATTCACTTCGACAAGCTTGTACCGTTCATGTATGTTAATTCCCCTACCACAATCCATCCAACTACACTTAAACAAAATAGTCTTGTACTCTTTTTCGGGACCAGTGTAGACTAGTTCTATAATGTCGTCTAAAATGTCGTAGTACTCTCCACCATCCTCACTTGATACACAAACCCCGTAATTCATCGTAGATTTGTGCTTGCCATGGGCATATGTATGGAAATTAAAGCCACCGACAAAAAATCTGCTTCCAAGTTCGTACACGCTTGAAAGGGCGCATGCACAACGCTCGCAGCACATCCGAGTTTTGTTCCTCCTCAATACACTATAAACGTTTTAAATATAACCGTCGCACTTCCCTAAATAAGTAAATTAAATAGCCACGAATAGTAAATCATAATTATCCTACGTTTAGACAGTGGACATCACCTTGCGATGAAACCAATTAGGGAATTCAGCTTTGCATTTCTCCATTACTTCTTCTCTACGCAAATAAGGTCGAGTACTAAGGACATAGTCCTCAAACTTCCTACGAGGCCAAAATTAATGTAAATAAACATTGTAATCATTTTAGATGATCATATCATCCAACTACACTTCATTACTAAACTATGTTATACCTTTCGTATTCACCAAGAATGCCGGTGTTTCGTAACACGAACAGATGAGCACAATCCAGTTCTTTTTCATCCAAAAACCGAGTTTTTCCCTCAGTTGACACACGACCGCTATCCTCCTTGAACAACTCTGGAATTTCAGCGTCGTCCACTGTGGAGTCCACGTCGGCATTCACATTTCGACCGAGATCTCGTGTTTTAGTGTCAACCGTTGCCTGGAAGTAGTTACTGCAGAAGTTTGCTATCTCTTCGGTGAGATAAGCATTGCAAATGGATCCTTCAACTCGAGCCTTGTTTCTAATTTTTCGTTTCAAATGGTTGAGGAACCTGCAATCATATTTATTTAAATATATAAACACGACATTACATTGAATTTTATGTAAGATATAGGATGTGCATGGGTCTTTGATTAACCTTTCGAACGGATACATCCATCTATATTGCACAGGACCACATAACTTCCCTTCATATGGAAAATGAATGGGTAAATGCTCCATGGAGTTAAAGAATGCAGGGGGAAAAACCTTCTCAAGCTTGCACATTATCTCAGCTATGTTATTCTCCAATCGCTCCATGTCAAGGGAGCAATTCCCGCAGAGCAGTAGGCAACACAAATCGCAAAAGAATTGGCTGATCTCTGTTATTCCATTCCAAACATGGCAAGGGAGCAATTCCCGCAGAGCAGTAGGCAACAACCTCTCCATGAACACGTGACAGTCATGGCTTTTCATTCCGTGGAGCTTACATGCTTGCAAATCGACGCATCTGCTCAAATTGGAGGCGTAAACATCAGGAAACCGCAACTGTTTAACCCACTCACACAAAACTTTTCTCTGAGCCTTGTCAAGAGCAAATGGAGCCATTAGCATGAACTCTTTTCCCCTATCATCCTGCTGAAGATGAAGCTGCGGACGTTTACAATATTTGGCAATGTCATTTCGAGCGGATGGCGTGTCACACGTCTGCTTTTTCACAGCCATTACAGTGTGAAATAACTGATCAAAGAAGTTCTTTTCAATGTGCATGACATCTAGGTTGTGACGAACAAGCAGATGCTTCCAATATGGAAGCTCCCACAATATGCTTTGCTTGAACCACCCCTTATTTTCTTTTTTGAGGCGTTGAAGTAACTCGGGCCCATCTGTAGCCTTCGGAAGGTCTTTCACACATTCCCACAGCTCCTCTCCTGACATAATGTGTGGAGGGGCACCCTTTTCGACTTTGTTTCTGCAGAACGCAGTTATACTATTCCGAAAAAGGTGATTCGTCGAAAGGAACTGGCGGTGGCAATCAAACCAAGACACCTTACAACCATTTTCTAGCCAAAATGCTTTGCTTTTGTCCATGCAGTATGTACAAGCTTTCTTACCAGATGTGGCCCAACCGGACAACATACCGTAGGCCGGGAAGTCACTAACGGTCCATAGGATGGCTGCTCGAAGATTGAAATTCTGTTTCATGGAAATATCGTACGTATGTGCACCAACTTCCCACAATTGTTTCAACTCCTCAATCAACGGTTGCATGTACACATCCAAGTTACCCTTAGGATTTTTAGGACCAGGAACGAGCAACGAAAGGAACATAAATTGTCTTTTCATACACATTGAGGGAGGCAGGTTGTAAGGGGTCAAAATGACAGGCCAACAAGAATATTGTCCCCCAAACTTGCCATGAGGAGCAAAACCATTTGTACACAAACCAAGCCGAACATTATGAGGCTCGGAGGCAAACTCTGGAAAGCAGTTGTCCAGGTGTTTCCAAGCTTCACTATCACTACGTGTGCCATAGTGCCTTGCACTCGAGGATTTTTCGAATGCCATGTCATTTCCTCCGAAATAGTCTTGGTTGTAAACAGCCTTTGCAACCCGGGTGTGATCGGGAAATAAAACAAAACGTTCAAAGGCACTAGGCTACCCTTGGAAGTCTGCTTGTATCAATCGCTGCCACACGCCCTACATTTAGACAGCAGGGCATCATCCTTCCAAAACAACATACATCCCTTCGGACAAGCGTGAATCCTTTCATGAGGCAGTTCCAAGCCCTTCACAATCTTTTTCACCTCATAGAATGTGTCGACCATTTGATTGTTGTTAGGAATTGCTTCACTGAGAAGTGAAAAAAACACATCGACACATCTGTGCGGAAGATTATACTCGCACTTTAGACTTGTGATTCTAGCGGCCATCTCCAACACAGACAACAAACTCCCTTCGTATAATGGCCTTTCAGAAGCCTTCAACAAATCCAAAAAATGCTTAGCTTGGGCATTAGGCTCCTCCTCTGATGAAACACTAGCCTGCTCGGAATGCCCATGATCCTGACTTTGACCAAACGCATCGAAAACCATTTCACGATATTCGTTGGACCCACTTGCAGGAATTGTCGGAAACCCTTCCCCGTGACACATCCGCTCATAGTAATTAGGTACAAAACCCGCACGTAACAAATGAAGTTTAACCGTATCTGGGTTCCAAAGCCGTTTGTTCTTACATTTTGCACATGGACACCTAACTTCATTCGGGTTACTACTTTCGGGATTATCTTTGACGTACTGCATGAACTCATCAACCCCTTTCACGAACTCTGGATTAACATATGGCCTAACCTTCCTTTCATACATCCAGCTACGTTCTGTTCGTTTCATGATTACAACTTCTACACAACTCACGCATATTAGTCACAAAGCGTACTTCCTAATCATTATCCATCAAAGTCTTATGAAATTGCAAATGAAATATGAAATGCTTTCAAAGGGTCCTTATCACTCCAACCTAACCCATCCTTGTACGTTTAATCCCACTAGTGAATGTAAGCCAGGTTTTCAATTCTACGTAAAATCCGCCAGCATTTCCCTACAGTTCTCCAAGTACACGATGTAGGTAATTAAACACACCTACATATGTACCCAGAGAACACTGTAGAGAAATGAAAAGACACGATTTTTCGTAGAATCAAAAGCAATGCTTACATTCACCACCTAAGTGAGAATAAGCGTACAAGGACAGTCCCAACCGGGGACTATTCAAGGCATACTCCTATTGTGTATGCCTTGAACGGGTATCTAGGTAAATGATTATGCAAATGATTAATTTATTATATATATATAAAGTGAAGGTCACATGCATTACACTAAACAGAGATTTATCATAATTAAAATAAACTAATATAAGCAAAAAAAGAAGCACAATTATTAAATATTATATCAAACATTATATCAAACAAAAATATTAAACTAAATTAACTAATAACATACACAAAATTAAACTAAATATTCTAAAATAAACTAAACTAGCATACATTATTATAATAAACTAAACCAAACTATGTTAACATGTTATTATACAATAATTAAAAACTAAACTTAAATAAACTAAACTAAACTAACATATCATAACACATACACATTCTTTTAAAAAATTTCAACTTATTAAAATATAAATACAATAAATTGTATACACTACACTAAAAAAATAAAAATAAATCAACATATATCTAAATACAATTACCGACTAACATGCCAAGTATAAACTAAACTTATAATATTAGGTTTTACATAGTCTCTAACCTGTAGATCTGCACTTGTTATTGCCAAAGAACAAATTAAAGTGAATCTACAAAACCTACAAAAATTTCAAATTATCCCAATTAGTAACTAAGTTTGTGATGCCTATGTATATTTAAAAATGATTAAATGGTAACAAATTATAATGAAAAAAAAATTAACAAAAAACAAACAAAACACCACCTGCTAGCGGCGGTGGCTGGGCGTCCCCTTGGTTGCAGACCGGCGCCCGGCTGGTGTCGTGGCTGTGGGGGTCGTCACTTGCAATTTCAAAACCAAAAAAATAAAAAAATAAAAAAAAAATTAAGTACCAAAAAAACCCCAAGAAACCTCAAAATAGTTTATTTAAAAAAAAAATTAAATACATAAATACTTACCACTATCCGGCGGCGACAATGGTGTATTTCGGTGAAGCTTTCGTGGTTGTGGTGGCTAATGGTGAATACCGTAACAACCTAGGTGGTGGTGGTGGTTAGCGTTCTCAATAACTTTAAAAAAAAAATAAAAAAAAAATTGAAACCAAAAAAACGGCAACTTACCGGCGGCGACCAGGCGGCTGCTAGTGGTGGATCGCGGCGACCTCCTTCCCCTTTCTCCTTCTCCCTTTCTCCTTCTCTCTTTCTCTTTCTCCCTTTCTCTCTTTTCCTATTTCTCCCTTGCTCAGTTTCTGTTTCGTGGCTGTGTTGCCTGAAACAATTCAAATGGGTCTTTTTTTTTTCAATTGCTGAAATGTTGCGACGGAATATATTCCCTCGGAAATACCCTCTTCCAACGGAATTTTCCGTCGGAAAATATCTTTCGGGCGGAAAATTCCGTCGGAAGAGGATATTTCCTAGGGAATATAAATCCGTTGGACTAATTCCGAAGGAATTTTTCGTCGGAAGAGTAAGTTTCCGAGGGAATTAAGTCCGTCGGAATTATTCTGGCGGATTTTTCAGTCGGAAAATATCCTTTCCGACGGATGTTTCTTACAACCTAAAATTCCGCCGGAATTCGAGCTTTTGCGAGGGAATTGGAGTCCGTCGGAATAAGTCCGTCGGAATTTAGCCTATTTCTAGTAGTGATTCACAAATGAAACAACCCGAACATGACCCGACCAGATTTTGACCTGATCCAAATATGACCCGAACATACTTGACCCGAAATTGACCCAACCCGAACTTTACCCAATACCTAACCCGAAGTTGACCCAAAACCCAAATCGACCCGACCCGACCCATACCTGACCTGAATATTAGCTGACTCGAAATGACCCGACCCGAAAGTGACCCGACCCAGACCCAATCCAAATAACCCATTTGCCAGGTCTATATATTAGTAGTGTTCTCACATAAGTAATATATATATTATAATTTACTAGTGTATGTAGATTAGAGCATATAAATACTCATGAGATGATTTGAATAGTTAATCCATGGAGGTGATACGGCTAAGGTCATTGAATGGCAATTACCTAAATGCTAATGAAGATCAGAAATCAGTCGGCCTTCACGAATCACGATCATGTTGCAAATAAGCCTATACCGCAAAGTACAGAGTGGAGAGTGACTTGGTTAGGACCTCAAAAATTGCGTCTCAACAGCATCTACGACAAGGTGCTCACTATTCGATATATGGTGACGGCCTTGATGGTCGGACAAGAAAACTGGCCTGTATTGGATGGTACCGGCGACTTGTACGTGGAGATTAGAACAATCATCGGCAGTTCAACAGTAATATCAAAATACTTCAGGTTAATCTCATACCTGTCAGTCATAATTTGGATACCTTTGAGGACGGTTACGGACCTAACGGTATCCATTTGCAATTGAGACCTAGGGTAACACTAACATATGTACCTTTATATTCAGTATTTAAGGTTATTGTTTACTCAGTCAGGGTGGAATAATAATATAAGTTGTTGATATGACTCAAAAGAGTAACGATATTTTATTTTTAAATAATCCTGACTCCGCCACTGACAGCTAAGCAAAAGGCAAAACAAAGTGTATATCAGGTAAGGACATATGGTTTTTGATAATGTCCCTGATGTTATTGGTGGTGGTAACAGTGGGAGTGGCGGCTCGTTTTTGATGAATTCAGGACATAACGTCAATGAATCTGGTACAAAGACTAATGGAGATGTTAATGTGCATACCAAGGTTGGTAAACAAGGAAATGTTTCTGTCTTTTTTAACAAGCAATAACAACCTTCCTCATCGATAGTGATTATACAGATTATGCTAGTATTTTATCTATGTTATTATGTAATCTCTTCATTTTTTTTTCATTTTTTATTATTTTTTTTTTTTGAATGTTTGTAATTCTCATCGGTCATCATATTGGCTATGCTAATATTTGCAAATTTTACCTTCTTTTTTATTTAGACTGTTATATTAATGATATCTTGACCAAGTAATCAAGTATATTCTTGAATCTTGATAGGCTGATAGCTATTAGAGTTTCATTAGATATGTAAATATGTTATGTATTTTTTAATCTCGTGACGTCATCGTTTATTACTGTTGTGCGACAGCGGAAGCAAAGGTCGTAAACAAACAAGAAAACAATAAAGAAATTCAATGCAAACAATAAGAACAACACCAAGAATTTACGTGGTTCACTATCGATGTGATAGCTACGTCCACGGGCACCGAGATCGAATGATTTCACTATAAACTGCAAAGATTACAAAGATGATTCTTGTATTTCTCAAGAACGGCTCTCACTCTGTCTCTCTTCTGACCCTAATACTGATATTAGGGAGGTTTTATATTAATCCCTAAAATAAAAGATACTTGGGCAAAAAGATAACATAAAAGATAACTTTAAATCGTAAAATCCGCGTCTCCGCATTTTTCCTTCTCCGCCCGGTCAGACCGGGCAAGGTCTGCCCGATCGGGCGCGAGAAGAAAACTCCATACGAATGCTTCAACGTATCCAACCCCCACCGCCCGGTCAGACCGGGCAAGGTCTGCCCGATCGGGCGAAGGCTCGCCCGGTCGGGCGAAGGCTCGCCCGGTCGGGCGCGAGAGCAGCTTCTTCAACGAATTTGCCAGGCACCTCTTCTTCTTCCGCCCGGTCAGACCGGGCAATGTCCGCCCGATCGGGCGGACAAAGCTACGAAGTACGAGTCACCTAATATACTTATCAACAATCTCCACCTTGACGAGAACTCGTAGTCAGCAAACGACCCCATCAAGACATAGTGAAAAAACATCTCAAGCCAAACCCGATGCAAGACTCATGCATAAGCCATACATCCCGATAAGTCTTCAA